ACAAGTTATTTTGATCCGCCCATACCAACATGTCTTGCATGGTGACAGTTGCTTAGTCTGACATTTGTTTGAAAGGTATTTCTAATTCTCAACCGTTCTATCCTTCTTCCTGTTACTGCTTTTGTGTACTGTTCAGGGCCGAGATCACGGTCAAGAATTGAATATGCGGGGTCTGTTATCTTGTGCCGCAGTTGCAGCTGTTGTTTCAACGGCATTCAGTGCTACTATTCCTCTTCACTTGGTTCGCTCGTCTGAATCGCCGCGTATCGCTGCCCCATCGGCAGATGGATCGGTTCCGTTCTTTGACTGGGCTCTGGCATCTTCGTTGGCAGGACTGACTGGTGCGCCGCCAACTTCAACGACGTCCGTGGACTGGGTTCCGAATTCTTCATCGTTGCCGGTAACGAGGTCGGCAAAGGATACCTGTGTTTCATCAGCAACATCCAGCATCGTACGGACGAAGCCCACGGATCACACAACGTTGGCGAGTGCGTCTGCAACAACTAGCGTGTCATCAATAACATCCAACATCGTACGGACGAAGCCCGCGGATCACACAACGCTAGCGAGTACATCTCCAACAACTAGCGTGCCATCAGCAAAACCCAATTCTTCAAAGGGAGCCCCCTCGCCGACAGGGCACGGCATCGCCGCGCCAGCCACGTATGTTTATATTTCGCACTGCGGCTTATTCATAGCTAACCACACCTTCAGGTCCGTAATTCATCCAGTCTTCGCTCCTGCAACAAAGACATGCGCCGGCCCTGCGGCCAAGTCGCCGGAAGTCTTCTGGCTCGATGATCAAGACCACAATAATCAGGGAGCAGGTATTGCCCCATTTGTTAACTCGACGGAACGGTATCCAGTGTTCCGTAATGTCATGGACTATTCAGTTGTCAACGATGGCTCTGGAGATCAAACTGCCAAGCTGCAAAAGGCAATCGACGACGATGGCGCTGGCGGCAGCCGAAAGGGTCATGGTGTTACCCGCTATCCCGCTGAGGTTTATCTTCCCGGGGGTGAGTATAGACTGGGTAGCACTCTTAGTCTGACGGTTGGAACCATCATCGTCGGAAACCCGTTGAACCCTCCTATCCTCAAGGCCGCTCCAGGTTTCAAAGGTGACCATCTCATTATGGGGTACGACGAGAAAAACGGCGCACCCGAGACAAGCTTTGCAATGCTTCTCAAGAACGTCATCTTGGACACCACTGCCCTCGACCCGAGCCGTGGATTTACCGCTCTCCAGTGGGGAGTTGCGCAGGGTTCTGGATTGACAAACGTCAAGATCCGCATGCCACCGCAATCAACTGGCCACACTGGTATTGATTTGAAAGCCGGTTCCACGATTGCTGTAACTGATGTGGTAAGTAAATCCGGATCGCCTGAAGACAGAAGCAAGTTAACATAAACCAGGACATTATTGGCGGAGCTGTTGGAATCAGAAACTCGAACCAGCAGGTGAACTTCAAAAATATCTATTTCCAAGCATGTAAAACTGGGTTCCATGCTATAGGCGGGTGGACAGTACTTCTTCAAGGTGCCACGTTCGATAGTTGTGGCACTGGTATTGACATGACCGGCAACGGCTTGGGCAGTTTGGTGCTTCTCGACTCGTTATCCACGAACAACGGCCCTGTAATCAGATTCTATGACTCGTCCCGAGACCATGGCAACCAGAACAGCCAGTTCCTCATTCAGAACCTCAAGCACAATAGCCAAAATGCTATTGCAGTCGATACAGCAGGACAAGTGGCATTGGCTGCTACCTCTCATATCGAAACATGGGTCTGGGGTACAGTCGTTCCCACGAAATATGAGGCTGGTGTCGAGTGGCGCACTGAGCGCTCTCCTCAGCTCCTTGTCGGCGATAAGTTCTTCACCAAAGCACAACCTACCTATCAAGACTATCACTCTGCCGACATTGTCAACGTGAAGACTGTCCCAGGATACACAGTCAAGGGAGACGGTAAAACCGACGATACCAAGGCACTCAACGCTATTTTGGCTGAGAATGCCGAATCTTGCAAAGTGACCTTCATCCCTTTCGGTATCTACCGCGTGTCTGATACGATCTTCGTTCCAGTCGGAACTCGCATTGTGGGAGAAGCATGGCCTGTAATCTCTGGATACGGTGACAACTTCAAAGATGTCAGCAATCCGAGAGCAGTTGTTAAGCTTGGCAACCCAGGCGACGTTGGTCTTATTGAGATCCAGGATATGCGATTCTCTGTCGGAGAGATCCTACCTGGTGCCAAGCTTATTGAGATCAATGCCGCAGGCAACGAGCCAGGTGAAGTTGGTCTATGGAACACCATGGCTACCGTTGGTGGTACAGCCGAAACCAGTATCTCTGGTGCCTGCACGTCGCAAGACCCCAAGAACTGCATGGCTGCCTTCATGGTGATGCACCTGACCGAGTCGTCATCTGCATACATCGAGAACTTCTGGGGCTGGACGGCCGATCACAACCTAGACAGCGAGTCCATCCTGACCATCATCTCCACAGGCCGTGGTATCTTGGTCGAAGCAACCAAAGGCACATGGCTCACTGGCACTGGTTCTGAGCACCACTGGTTGTATAACTATAACTTCCACAACGCGAAGAACGTCTTCGCCGGGCTTCTGCAAACAGAGACTCCATATATGCAGGGCCAGGGCGAGTACGAGGCTGCACCAGCACCCTGGGCAGCGGAACCGAAATACGGTGACCCTGATTTCTCGTGGTGCGCCACAGAGGACCAGAAATGCCGTACTGCATTGGCAACAAACGTGGACGGAGGATCTGATGTCGCGCTATACAATTCGGCAGCCTGGGCCTTCTTCGATGGCTATTGGAACGGTCGGTATAACGAGCCCTGCAGTGGTAATTGCCAATCCAACATGATGCGAGTGACGAACAGCCCAACAAACCTGGTCTGGTACTCAATCAGCACGCGTATGACGGATGTGATGGTTCTCGATAATAAGACCAACCCGCGTGAATCCAATCATAAGGGTGGGTGGGAAGCTATAATTCAGGTTTACGGCCAGTTCACGACTTGATATTGAACGTGGCGTTTTCCTGCATCATTTGGACATATGCATTTTGCTGTACACTTAGCTAGATTAATTATTAATATGAAGATTCATCAATACAACCCTGAGTGTAAAGAACTAGGCACCATAGTTTTGCATGGCAAGCAATAGCAAGTACCATGTAGGATGTATACTCCATGACGTGTACCGTTCAACCCTTTTCCCTGTTTCTTTTTATATCGAACGTCGCCACAGTCACGTGATCATGCGCCTCATGCTCCAATCCACGGGTTCCGAGCATCGCGCCACTTAATCCACGACGAATCATGATACAGGTCAGCCCTTCCCTGCCCTTGCAAATAACAGTTCCAAAACAGGAACGCGTCACCTCAAGTCTTGGCGTCTCTCAAACGAGAGCAATCACAACGGTATTGAAGGCTCCTTAATAGCAAATTATTACCTTCGACCATTACGGACGCCAAGCCCGATTTATCCAACCTGCCTGGGTTGACCCACCGTATCGGAAATACTCACTCGTGGTCAACCACTCACGCAGCTTGTGGACAGCTGATCAGCGGAGACGTTCCCCGGTGCACACCAAATACTCAGGGGGCTCTGTGGGACTGCCGGGGGTCCCGGCAAGTTGTTGGCACGGGAAAGGCAGCCAAATACCGAAGGTGAGAATTTCTAAAACGGTGTTGGCTGTGCTGCATCGCATGGGGTACATGGAAGCAGGTACAGTACAAGCTCATGCAAGACTATTCAGGCTAGATCTTGCCGGTCTTGTCCCGGGACGATGAAACGGGCCCAAACAGCCCCATCGCTGCGCCCATATTACTCGGTGGGCCCCGAAATGACGATGGGCTTACCCAAAATTGCATGGCGGGCCATCTCATGCATTTTCCCAGCTCAGCACTGGTCCCCTATCCTTGAGCGGACCCTGCGATCGACGTGAGAATTGCTATTCACAAGGCTGAGGTCATGTTGCCACTGTCTCATTCGGCTGCCTAGCCAACTAGTCGCAATTAAACTCCGCTGTTTCTATCAATAACTTGGGACAGGAGCTGCTCCATCGAAATTTTATAAAGAGTCCCCTTTCCCCCAGATTATCTGACTATCATCCATTGAATCTCAAACTCAATTCTTCATCACCCACCTCCAAGCCAAACCTCACTCCTCAATCTATATACCAATCCTCTTTACATATCGACAATGAAGTTCTCCATCTTCTCCGCCCTCTTCCTGGCCACTGCCGCCATGGCCTCCCCAGACGTCGGCGACAACATCAACGACATCATCACCGGAGCCGAAGGCGTTTACTCAACCGCCAAGGCCGACGGCCAGTCGATCGGCTCTGAGGCCGCATCTGAAGCCACCTCCATCGCCAACGCAGTGCACACCGGTGGTGCCGCCGCCGTCTCAACCCTGACCGGTGCTGCTGGCGCAGCCGCCACTGCTGCCGAGAGCGAGGCCAGCTCCATCGGCTCTGATGCCGCCAGCCGTGCAAGTGACGCTCGTAGCCAGGCTTCAACCTGGGTCACTGGCCACACCCTGACCAACTCCGAGGGCTCAGCCACCGCTACCCTGTCCACCACCATGACTACTACCACCGGCTCCTCTAGTGACGCCTCTTCTACTGGCTCTTCCAGCGGGTCTGCTACTGGCTCTTCCTCCACTTCTGGCAACGGTGCCTTCGCTCGCCCTACCGCTATCGGCGCTGCCGCCGCTGGTATGGCTGGTGTCCTGGGTTTTATGGTTGCCCTGTAAAACACTGATACTCGACGATTCTATTTTTCGGGTTCTATCTTGAGCGGCTGCTCTTGATCATTGACGACTTTCCTTGACTATTTATTTACATCTTGCTGGCTCGCATCTGGGAAAAGCAGGTTAATGCGGGCGTTTTTTTTTTGTAAACTTGTACATATATCCCCCTATCGTACATTCGGTACATTGCAATCAACCTATATCGCATTGGAGTTTCATCATTCCTCGTAAACGTGCAGTTTTGGACTATCGATGCCTTTGCCGAGATTATAGTCATCGATGCCGATACCGGGTCGCGTGGGCCCTGCGCTAAGGAGGTCAAACCCGGCTGCGGCTGCCGTTGAGATGCATTGATTGTGTTGGATCCCAAGCCACGATCGAGGGCCAAATGAGGGTTGTTACAATTTAAGTATCATGGATATCAAACATGTAAGGAGACGCATTATATTAATATAACGAGGACGATTCAATCCTCCTTACGACCGTCAGCGGCAGGTCCATTTCCATTGAGACCGGCAGCCAGCGAGGAACCGATAGTATTATTCGAAAGGGTAGACGCATTCTCACCAACAGTCATCTGTGGTCCAGTATACCAGTGTCGCGCAAAGATAAAGTAGTATATCATGCAGCCAGCCCAGACAAAGCCATTGATGACGATGGTGTAATTCATATTCGATGCTATAAAATCAGAGTCAGCCATTGTATCATCTGTATGATGGGACGTGACATACGAGATGGGTTGGGACCCTCGGTTGGGAACATAGATAGAACAACACCAAAGAGCAGGTAGGCAACAGCCACACATGCAATCGGTTTGCTAAATCGGCCAGTATAGAACTCGCCTGGGCGAAAGCGATCCTGGCCCCAGACCAGGCGACAAAATATCGGTGTGCCCCATGAGAGGTAATTACTCGCGACAAAAAGCGAGAAGAGAGCATTGGCAGCAGCTGAGTTGATCAAGGACAGCAAGCCCAACACAAGGCAGACGATCACGATACCGCAAATGACGCGAATAGGCTGGTACTTAATCCGCTTACTTACATGTCGGAAGAAAACAGAGAACGGAAGTGCACCATCGCGAGAAAAGGCCCATGCCTGACGAGAAGCTGCAACTATCAAGCTCAGGCCAATGAGGAATTGAGTGAAGCAGAGTATAGCCACAAATACCAAAGCACCATCTCTGCCTAGCGCATCATAATAAATCTGAGCCATTGGCTGACCAAAACCTGTATTCAATGTTATGTTCACTTTCGGATTCATAGTGGCCGCGATGATAGAGAGAACCAAAAACCCAAGTACGATTGCAGAGCCAGCCGACCAAATAATTCCGAGAGGTACGGCTTTGGCAGCGTGCAGAGCTTCCTCGCTCATATGCACGCATGAATCGAATGATCCGATAGACCATATTGGGGCTAGCCACGAGAGCATAAATGCCCATCCGGTTGGCCAGGTTGTTTCATTGTCAATATGGCGGTAGACGAAATGAGCTGAGTTGAGAGATCCGCCGCGGGTGACCTTTCCAACTGGGAGTGCTATCACTGTCGCAACGACGAGCGCGACATTGATGTAGATGCAAAATATCTGGATCTTTGGCATAAACCGGCCACCTAGGGAGGCGCAGATTCCATGTAAAAGGATCAGTCCGATAAAAACAGCATAAATGACACCGCGTGAGGCGGACCATCCGTCTCCTCGTGCGATCGATATACAGGAGAGGATCATGAGGGCGAGGGTATCTACACCGCGAGGAAGGTAAGCAGAGTGATTGACAGCGACGGAAATATGCAATGATCATCCTCACAGTCAACGGAGCACATCCCTCCAATTAGGCCCAGTGTATTGCTGTACCCTATCAGAAAGCTAAGCGGGTTCTTCCATTGGCGTCCAGCAAAATAATGAGTCCAAAAATAGAGCCCTCCAGCCGTGGGCATCGCAGAAGCAAGATCGGCCTGGCGGATGTTAGCTCCATAGTTCAACGGAGATCAGATCCACAACCGGGATATACCATCGCCAGCCCGACCAACAAGATGAACAAACTCGCCGTAAACCATCCCTGTGTCGCAAAAGCCAGTCAATTGAGCGCACTAACCAATATGCGATTGGTCCCATACCCAAACCATGCCCACTGGACCTGCCGGCAGAGAAAACGAGAGTGTCGACGCAATCGAGGGTACCAAGCCCATAATACTAAATGCAATGGCAAACACCTGCAGCGTGGAATATTGTCGGCGGAGTTCCTGCTTGTAGCCCATACGGGCTAGACAGAGGATCAGTAACTAAGATCCCGACCGGGTTTCCCCGCAAAAAAGGAGCATACTGAATTAACGCTTCTTACCTAGCAGTTGCACGTCGGCGGGATCAGTGCTCGACGCGTCAGTCGACGCGACCAAATCGGGGTCGGTAGTCTTGGTGTCCATTTGGGACTCGACTCAGGTTGTATCTGGTTGATCGCGGACCGACATGACGCGGATTATGGTTGCTTTAATACCATAATGTAAAGGCAAGCTGCAGTCGAGGCATTCACAAGGGCCAGGGATGTGGATCTCGCAAATACTCTTCTGGGCCCAACTCTGAAATAGCCAATTATCTATCCTTCCTTCATGAGACTCCGCCAATAATTGATGCAGTTGTTCCTGCAGAAAAGAGGAGTGGGAGGGTCTGCTATGCTGTCAGATTGGCGAATCAGTTGGGGATTCCACGCCCCTTGCGGCATGGGGGATTGATGCATGGCCACGATTCAGTTCCACTTCATCCTCGCGACTCTTTGGCATCCTGGAGGTCTGAACGGGTGGCTGTTGATTTGCGTTGTTTGTTCACTCCCGAAGTCTTTGGATACGGTCTGACGGCAGCATGCTGTCAGATCTCAGCGCACACTACGTGTCGTAGTACGCACCTCGCAGTGCATGCTCGGCTCAATTTGCCTGGAATGACAAGGCTGTGACTGATTTCCATTCACGCCATTTGCGTGGAAACAATTTGTTAATCAGCGCCACTGGAGGTGTGCGGTGACTCAAATTTCACATCTTAGTCTGTGCTTACGGGTTTGCCCCATTGCTCTCCCAGGCTGATGTCAACATTTGTTTCTTCTGTTCCAGAATGAATATTTATTTCGATCTCGTCCGGCCATTAATATTCATGGACAATTATCTCCCCTAAGAATTTTCGAAGGAAAAATGCAGACGGCATGTAAATGCTGTTCGCCATCCTCAGACTTATTATCACAGACATACATGCCCCTCTTCAGCTCTGTACATAGCAGTGAAATTACCTATCCGACAAATGAGCCCACATCATCAATGATCAATACTACCTGCAGACAGACAAGCTAACTGCAAGATGACAATCTGTGGCCGACAACGCCCCACTAAACCTGCTGATCAGGATGGATCTCCCGACTAGGCTGGCGCTGCTCAGGAGGGATCTCCCGACCAGGCTGGCTCTGCTCAGGAACATCATCGGAATGAACCTGGTCGGTCATGGTTCTCTCCGAAGGAGCCATTGACTCCTTTCTCGCCCTATACTCCTGCTCGTTGTAATCCTGACCAGGGTTGATATTCTCCCAGCGTACGAAGCACAGGAGGTGATAGAAGGCAGAGGCGAGGAGGGAACCGAGCAGAGGGCCGACCCAGTAGATCCAGTGATATCCGGGGAATGTGCGGTTAATTACATCGGGTCCCAGGGAGCGCGCCGGGTTCAAGGATCCTCCGGTATAATAATCACCTGGAATGGAGTGTTAGGTGAGTGGGGGTAAAGAGGAGCCATAGTACTAACCGATCAGTTCCGCCACGAAGAATGCCAGACCGATTCCTACTGGGGCCAAGTAGGTGGACTTGTGCTTCACAACCGCTAGCATGATAATGACGATCACCAGTTGCGCGGTGAGGAACATCTCAATGAAGAGACCCTGCGAAATGGACGTTCCACCACCCAGACGAGTTGCACAGTTCAGCGGTCCTGGGAATAGTGCGCTCACTACACCAGCGGCTGCAATTCCAGCGACCAGTTGAGCTGGGAAAACAAACAACCCACGTAAAGGGGGCATGCCGCCAGTGACACAAAGTGCGAGAGTCACCTGTTAATTGTCAGCTACCATTATCCAATTTATTGTCGCTTTCATACCGCTGGATTGAAGAGACCGCCAGTCACCCGGAAGAATGCCCAGACATTGACAGTCAATGAGAAACCGAAAGCAAGCGACGAGTACAGCAGATTCGAAGTATTGGGCGGCGACCCAGGCGCCGGCATGGGGGTATTCGAGACCTGGGTACCAGCAAAAGAGAAGAAAAGAAACAAGAAAGTTCCCACGAACTCGCCCATCACACACAGCAAGTTGTATCGCAGCTTGTCCGGCAACTGAAGCATAGGCAATTGGCCGCGTCCGTTGGAACCCGGCGGCCCCCCAAGTGTCGAGACATCAGCGGATTGGCGCTTCCTGAACCGCATCGTGAATGAAGATGGAATTGAGGGATAGACTAAAGAAAGTCAAGAGCCGAGAGGACAAGATACGGCAGAAAATATTGTCAGAGTGAGAGCATTTCCTTTATTCCACCCATTCTTCCATCATGAGACCTATATACTGTACCACTTTTGCATATGGCAGACGTCACTACTGCCTACGCCTGCCAGGCCAGTCCATGTATCATCGATCGGGGTCAAACTGGGGACACAGCCATTGAACTCGCTTATTCTACACCAATTGGTCGTCTTGGCCAGGGCGTCCACCTTGAACGGGTTGTGGCGTTGAGTTGTCCATGGATGTATAGATGTCGAATGGTGAGGTCAGCATGTGCGATTGAGCCCTCCAAGGCTTATTAGGAGTAAACAAGCTACTGTTACGGGACGGGACCACCCGGCCTTCCGAAAACGGCGACACCGATTGTCTAGACCTCCGACGAACCACGAGAGTCTTCAATAGACTCTTCCACTCATAATCGGCATTGACTGACCCCGCCTTCTCCAGGAAGCTGTCATTGGGCAGGCCCTTCAATTGGTATGAAATTGGCGATTAATCAACGACTCATAGAGCTCATTAAGGTTTGGCGGCTTGGAGTTCACCGTCCGTATTGCACAGATGATTAACTGACACCTGTGAGATCTGGAAGACGATGGGATCTGCTAAATGATCAATTGACACGCTTTCAATTTGAATGCTCGATGTTGTTTCCGTCGACTCTCGAGCAAGGAATCCCAAAACGGTTAAACCCCCGCGCACTCAGTTTGCTTCCTGTGTGGATCCATGTGAACACCCAGGTTCTAAGGTTTTTTTTAGTCACGAGAAACGGACTACTTCAGTATGCCCCGAACTGCCAAGACAAACTCGGCATTGTACCGATGTATAGTAATCGTGCGAGTGTTATTGGACAAACCCGGGGTGGCCGATCCACGCCGGCTTATTCTCGTCTATGGCCTGACTCGCCGGGATTGGACGGACGGCGTGTGATGAGCTTTTAGCGATGTGACAATAGTACATCAAGGAGACTATACCCTGTTCTCCCAGTTTCTTGATATCTCCCAACTTTAAACTTGAAGATTGCATTTGAGGCTTATCTGCGACGAACTACATGCCGTTGCGGGATCCTGTGTGATCGGCGCTTTGACAGCAGATCCACAATCATATCATTTGAACTAACTTATATGTTTTTAAAGAACATGTTATGGACATAAATTTTAAGTGTCTCAAAGTAGAAATTGGTCCATCATACCAAAATGCCCCAGATAATTTGCAGTGGCAGCCGCGGATAAATCTTCGCGAACATTGAAACATCCCGTTCTGCGCAATATCCGCAATATCCTCTTCTCCGCGGAGATGTTTGATCTTTTCGGCACGAATCGCACCGTCCAGAAATCATGCCAGACACATTCTCGGGGATTCTACGGGTGTTTCTTTTTCTTTTTCTTTTTTTTTTTTCCCGATCACCGAAGCTAACGTTTCAGTCTACGGCGTAGACTAGTATAAATAGCTACGCAGCCAACGACATGGAGTTAATTACTATTCTCAATTTGAACGAACACAATTTGACTACTCAAATCAATTGACTTAGTATCTACGACTAAAATATCACCTCGCATTTCGCCTCGAACATCACAGATCCAAGCTACTTATTCACCATGGGTTCCATTGCTGGAATGACGGCGGACCAAATTGTCCTAATTAAGGCAACTGTACCCGTTCTGGTCGAGCACGGAAACACTATCACAACAGTCTTCTATCGCAACATGCTCGAAGCCCACCCTGAATTGAACACCGTCTTCAACACCCCCAACCAAGTCAACGGCCATCAGCCCCGTGCCCTAGCCGGCGCACTCTACGCCTACGCCTCGCACATCGATGATCTGGGAGCTCTCAGCTCCGCAGTCGAATTGATCTGCAACAAGCATGCCTCACTCTACATCAAGCCCGACGACTACAAAATCGTTGGCAAGTACCTCCTCGAAGCAATGGGCGAGGTCCTCGGAGCAGCATTGACCCCAGAGATCCACGACGCATGGGGAGCCGCATACTGGCAGCTCGCCGATATCATGATCGGTCGCGAGAAGCAGCTGTACGAGCAAAGCGAGGGTTGGACTGACTGGCGCGACTTTAAAATCGCCGATAAGATCAAAGAGTCCGACGAGATCACCTCCTTCTATCTCGCACCTGTCGATGGCAAGCCTTTGCCAGGCTTCCAGCCTGGCCAGTATATCTCCGTTCAGACATACGTCCCGGCTCTCAAGTATACGCAAGCTCGACAGTACTCGCTCAGTGACAAGCCTCGATCGGACTACTACCGTATCAGTGTGAAGAAGGAGGCTGGTATCGACTCGGCTGATCCTGCTGTTTCCGCTCACCCTGGTTATATTTCGAATGTGCTGCACGATACTCTCAACAAAGGCGATACATTGCAAGTTTCGCATCCTTATGGTGATTTCTTCCTTTCGACCACAGAGGCGGAGCCTGCTCATCCGGTTGTGTTGATCTCCGCCGGTGTGGGTCTTACTCCGCTCACTTCGATTTTGAATACCTTGACATCAAAGGCGCCCTCCGCTCGCAAGCTTCACTTTGTGCACGGGGCACGGACATCAGGCGCACGCGCGTTCAGTGAGCACATTGCTTCCCTCACGAAGAAGTATCCCAATTTGAACGCCACCTTCTTCACAACTCACCCTTCCGAGGGAGAGAAGGAAGGCGTGGACTATCACCACGTTGGACGGGTGAATCTAGACAAGGTTAAACAGGAGGATTTGTTCCTTGATGACGCTAAAACCGAGTACTACATCTGTGGACCAGAGAAGTTCATGACGGATATGGAATCGAGTCTTAAGGGCCAGGGTGTTAGCTCTGACCGGATCAAGATGGAGTTGTTTGGCACTGGAGGTGTGCCTCACTAAGCATTGCATAGAATTGTTTTGAATTGGCGTTAGACAGTACATATCTCAGCTCCTTTATAATTCATATTATGATTGATGAATACAACACGTTAGACAATCACTTGCTTCCCACGATGGACAATCAGTGCATGATAAATTACAATAGCTTCTAATAAAAATAAAAAAAGGAAAGCAGGAGCTTGGGTTGTTTATTCGAGTGGAGAACAAGCTCGGGTATCAGGCATTGACTCGCACTAGTTGACTATGTAGAATAAAAGGAATTCTGCCCAGCTGTGGTGCACACGGGGTGGATGACATATTTATGATGGGGCCCATGTAAGGAGGTCGAAGTACATGCTTCTTTGTTCATTATTGGCCTTGAAATGAACTGTTGATCTCAAATGATCCCAAACCGTCTTCGGACTTCGGACTTGATCGAACGGCAAACCGGATGCCATTACTAAGCAAGTCGGTTTCGACATCAGGAGCTCCTGGCCCACCTTCCCAACTCAGGGGAATAGCCTTACTATTGTGATATATAACCCGAGTGGATACCCCGCCTCATTTTGAATATTTGGGTAAATAAAACAAGAAAGGATATCCAGTATCACATTCCCATTTTATATCCTACTGCCCAAAATGGGTGCCAAGATCGGCCTCTTTCCAGCATCCGGCGCTCTCGGAACAAGCATTTTGAACCACCTTTCGGAGCTGCTCCCAGCGTCACAACTTATTCTCATCGCTCGGCATCCTGAGAGATTAGATGATTTCAAGAAAGAGGGTGCCACAGTACGCCGGGCGGACTACGACGACCCATCGACATTACAGACAGCCTTCGAAGGCGTAGATACCTTGATGTTGATATCATATGCATCCATTGAAATTGAGCACCGAGCGAAGGTAAACTAAAAACACTTCCAAGGAGGAATATTGACAAATCCACCTAACGAGAAAACAGTCCCACAAACGTGCAATCGATGCTGCATCCAAGAGTGGTCTCAAGCACATCTTCTACTCGTCGCTTGCATTCGGCGGTAACCTTAGCGACAAAAGTGTTGCCCACGTAATGGGCGCGCACCTGGAGACAGAAAAGTACTTAGATTCCCATCCAGGGGATTTCACATACACCTCCGTTCGTGCAGGTATCTACTCTGAGTCATTCCCGATTTACACAACTTGGTTCGATCTACAGAACCCTACAGATGAGATCATGATTCCTCACTCTGGAGGCGGACCTGGTGTCGCGTGGGCAAAGCGTGATGAGTTGGGCGAAGCTACTGCAAGATTAATCGTGTCGTATACCAACGACCCCGCGAAGTTCCAATATTTGGATCAGCGCGTGCTTCTTTCGGGGCCACGCGAGATATCCCTTGCTGAGACAGTCGATATATTGGGTCGGGCTATTGGGAAATCTATCAAAATTCGGGAGATTTCTGCGGATGAATATGCTGCTCTTCCTCAAAATGCTGATTTCCTTACTTACCACGGAGTCAATCTTTCGAAGGAGTGGACTACTGCCTGGGAGGCTATCAAACTGGGCGAGACTGCTGTTGTGTCACCTGCCCTTGGCAAAATTTTGGGGCGTGAGCCGGAAAGTTTTGAGACCACAATCAAGGCAATGATCAAATGAGCTCTTGAGGCTGTGGCATAGTTATACAGGTAGAAGGATCAGGTAACTGCATGAGAATGAAGTATAAAACGGTCCGGAACTCTGCAGGTTCGGTGTCACTAGAATTGGTATGTGATACATGTATGTGCAATTGCAGTAATCATGAAGGAGTGAAAGAAGCCTCTTATCACAGAAACTTCATCAAAACAAACAAGGAAATTTTACCAAAGCCCTCGTCAAGCCCTCGTTAACTCAAGCTAGCACTGCTCAGTACTTATTTAAGCGGAGTAGTTCTTAAGCTCCTTAACGTAGAGCTGCTCGGAGCGGTACTCGGCGTTGTGAGCACCGTACCAGTAGATCTCCTGAATGGGGTTCTGGCTGTAGCCGTCAACAGAGAACCAAGCCTTGCCACCGTGAGTGAAGAGGCCCTTGTCGTTAACACCGAAGCCGGTGGTATTGCCACCCTGGGGAACGGCACCGGAGTGGGGAAGGGTCAGGCCGAGGGGAGAAACAGAATCCTCAACGATATAGAGGTTCTGGAAAGCGGTGGGGACAGCGTCCTTGGAGGTGAAGGAGACGAGACCGTTGGGGCTGCCGCCACGGACTAAAGAGGTGTGTCAGGATATTGCTTGCAGTGGAACCCGGGGTGGCTGATGAACTTACGGATCAGGATCTCGTGGTCAGTGGTGTTGGCACCGATGAAAGCGTACTCTGGTCACCATTGTTAGTATTTTGGCTTTCAATTTTTGAATGTTGGGGGGGACGAATTGAACGTACGGCCGTCGGTCAGAACGGTCTTGCCGCCCTCAGCAACCAGAGTGAAGGCCGAGGGAAGGGTGGCGGCGCTGATGGCGCTGACGAAGCCGGTGATAGCAGCGATGGATAATTTCATTTTCAAAGTGGAAGATTTGGTTGATTCTGAATAACAAGGAGACTATACGGAGGGAATTGGTGATTCTTATACCCCAGAGAAAGGGAGCTTGATACGACTTAAGACATGCTTAGACTTGTTGAGGTGACGAAGTTGACCCTCTTCCATTTTAAAATAAGGTGGCTAACTTTAAAATCCTTTGGCTTATTCTCTTATTGGTCGAGAGACCGAAACATGTCTTGCAATCCCTCATAGCGGCAGAATACATGATTTGTACGGCAGATGGCGTCAGGGCTCTTGTCGGGCTCTATCTAAATATTGGGTTACAAAATACCACCTCAAAGCAGAAGGGGTCTCTTCCGACCGCAATTGAAGCTACATATCTAGTTACAAAACCCTGACTGCCATACAAAACCCCTGAGTACCCAGCATTTTCGAGCCAAGCCAAGCTTCGGGCGTGTTTTAACCCGAAGAGTGGATCCAATCCCCCCGTTACGGGAGTAAGCCCACTGACGATCTTCAGATTTGAGTGGGCATCAGTTCGGGGGATTCCCTTTTGGAGTCCAATCCTATTCTTAGCTTCCGTGTCTTCCGAGAAATGTCTGATTTGTCCACCCGGGGCAATTATGGCTTCATTAATGATTCACTACAAGGCGTCGGCCCAAAAATTGGTCGCCGTTATGTCGGGGAACCTTCCCCTGCTATTGATTTCCAGGTTCTAGTTGTTTGAAAAATCCGGTTACTGTATGAAAATCCCCGGTATTCTGTCATGTATGCTGCTATCAACAAAACAGAGAACTTGTTGAGGGTAACAGGGGTAGTTGGAATCTTGGGTCGGATCCAGTAGGCAAACTCTTTTTGAACTTCATATATTGCTGAACAAAGCCTCTGACGTCATGTTGCCAGGTATATCTCATTGGCTTCTGAGAGGCGCTAGGAGGCATAGTTTGAGATAACTCACTACTACAAGATGAATGAAAAATGCATTTTCCACCTGGACTGGTGATGAAAACGCGAAAGGAAGTTGCAATAAGAGCGGTGAACTGAACCGGCCGAGGGTAGAACCAATTCCGAGACTCTCTACAGTATTTAGCCGAGCTGCGGGCGCTTGAAGATCAATGTCCACTTGCAGAACAGGCGCCATAGTTGTTTAGAATTGTTAATGTTCCCATAAATAAAACATTACACTGCCCCAATAATGTTATAGCTACGACATTCAGAGAGGCAGCAAGATTCATCATTTGTCTTCTCGGGGAGTTGTTATGCAAACTCGAAAACTTCGACCGAAATATATTATTCATCCAATGTCTTTCCATGTCAATAAAGGAGGGCCTCCAATGTCACGACGGTAATATATTAGGAACTAGGGAGGACAGCTCACACCACGCCTCACTTGTACAAGTAAAAGTAATAGGTGCCACCGGGAGCAATCTTCGCATCCATGGCGCCAGCAATCATATCCTCCTTAACATAGCGGAAGTAATCGATGATAGGGACATCATCATAAATCATAGCAGTAGAAACTTTCCCTTTCCACTCAATCTGGCGAAGCTGTAGAGCGGAGTGATATTAGCCCTGATCCACATCATCCATGAAAAGCAGTAGATATGCAATATCAAAGGTGACAGAAGCCAAGTGTCAACTTACCCGAGCATGTCCCCAGTCTGGATTCCACACTCTTTCGCCGTTTTCCTGGTAGACCTCGATGGGATCAACATCCTCCGTCGAGCGGAATGTCTTGCCAGCCCAGTTCATGCCAGTGAGCTTTTCCTCGGTGGGGTGGCCGGTGTTCACATTGGCTCCTTTCCATGTCCCGAAGAAGTGCTCAGGCTTGATAGGCTGGAGATTGTCAAAGGCAGCTTGGACGTCGTCGCCGGAGAGGTTCTTGCCAGCGACAAGTTGCTCATAGTGCTGTTCTGGGGAGCTAGATGTGGGTGGTCTTTTATTAGTGCCTTGATTAGCTAGGGTACTTGGACGGGAAGCATACAGAGACATGTTTGTTGTTTAATGCAACTGTAATATAGAAAGGTTTGAAGGGGTCAATGATGGTTTTCACTATTCAATGCTGACGAGGAAAAACTAATGCGAGATACACGAGGGCTTTATGATTTTGGCCCCCGGAAAGAAAGCAATATGTGTTCGCAGCAAATTGTGCGTCATTTAGCTTTAACGAGATTTGATCTGACCACTGTGGCAAGCCTATTATGACCTGACCACGTAGTTCTTCATTGGTGACGGTAAAAGAATGGTGGGGGACGGAATCTAGTTTTCGACGATCGGAATTCTCAATGCGTCCTCACGCATATGGTAAACAGGTGAAATAGACGTAAAGAATGGCCTATCGACCTATTAAGTTTTGGTGATCTCATCTGGAGACACATATTTAAGAAGTGATAAGGGAAACCACACCTATACAATCCACTAGATATGTACCGAGGACCTGCGGAGTGGTACCCACGACAGCCTTGTGCCCGATCCCCATGTCCGAGGGTCCCACTGAAGCAGAGCACCACTTGGAGATCACAGATTTCCCATGAAAGGCACATGCAGAGGTATGTTTTCCTTTGGGGGGGGGAGGTGGGTGTGCCGGAGAACACCGAGCTGTAAACTCAGATCGTGCCCCATAGCAAATCCTTGCCGGAATTATTTAATCTAGGCAGCTAACTACATCGAGTGTATGGCCTTTCGTCTGATCTTGGAGCGATAAGCTTCATTGTTCCACAATCTGCGTCATAGGGCTTGCAGATCATCTCGCATCAGCCTTAAGTCAGCCCACCGCTTTTCCGCAATGGATATCATCCAATAAGATGGATATCTATGGCAGACTAGGTGGGTTGAGTATCTGAGTACATGTATCTGCTGGGAATGGGAATGCAAACCGCAGTCGTGGGCGCCATTGGCGATTCGCTAAGCCTGGGATAGGATCGGGGGCTGGCCAGCATGTAATTCTACATATCTTGCGGGGTATCGCGTGGGTTGTTGAGATTAACAATATCTGGTGTATAAGATTGGTGGCACTGCCAAATACACAACCTCAGCGGTTTGTAGTCATCTGAAGTCGCTCAACCCTGAAATTCAGTCATGAAGGCCAAGGGTACATACTGCCAGTTCTCAGTCATTGGACGAGATATGTCATTTGATTATAACGTATATCGCCCTGCCTCGAGCCCCATTCAGGCCTAGAATTGTTCAACACACACTGCTTTCAGTTAGGGATTGGTTTTCAGTATGGGCTCATCACAAGTAAGGAGAAACATAGGTTGGAGGTCGAAGCACCCCATGAGGCGGTGTGGGCAGGACCAGGGGCTTTGAACAGTCCATGTTCACTTCTCGCAACCTAACAACATTTTGCGTTTGCCATCAATACCAGACAAGCTTTTCGACTCGATATCTTGGAACCAGCAACAAACGCCGAGACCACGCCATGATTCTCAGCGGACTCGAAGTTGTCAGCCGCCATTTGGTGCGTAACCTAGGACATGTCACTCAGCAGCAACAGCCATGCGGTATCGATCTTACTTTACGCCAAGTTTCTAGATGGACCTCATCAGCTACCATTGACTTTGACAACACTAAGCGTCAGGCTGCCAAAACGTCTAGCCTGCCTTTTGACGAAGCCAACCACATAATCACCCTACAACCAGGCGCCTACTTAATCGATTTCAACGAAACCGTTCATGTTCCACGGAATTGTATGGGGAATGTTTTCCCTCGATCGTCACTATGGAGGTCCGGTGTGGGAATTGCTGCTGGTGTGGTCGATGCTGGATATGAAGGTGCCTTGGGGGCTTTGATGGAAGTCAAAAATCCTCATGGGGTAGTTCTTCACCACAATGCCAAGCTAGCACAGATTGTATTTGAGGAATTGGGGGAAACCGTCGTGGGATACAGCGGTGTTTATCAGTCCTCGACGAGCAGTGTTGGGCGTGATGGGACGAAACAAGTGTAAAGATTGCATAACATATAGAATGTTGGAACCACCTGATTCTTCGGATCGTGAAACCTAAACACAGCATATCTTGAAGCCAGAAGTCACACAAATTTGAACGCTATGTTAGACAGAATAATTCGCCCAGGGTTGAACATACTTTATCCCCCTCTAGGTCTCGAGATCCGTATAGGGCTAGCTGCTCTAGCATATAGCCACCCCTAGCTGCCGACGAAGATCGCGCCGCCGAGAACCGTGGTCCGGGGAAAGATACTCGGCAGTAAAACCAAGGCAAGACCCATGTATTTCGTGCAGCTGGCGGGTTTAGCGCCCGTTATTTCTCCACCTCTGGATCTGGGCTTGCCGGGTGGACTGACATTCTTCATGGATCTTGAAGCAAGGCATGTCACAGGGGTAACGGGTAGCCTGCAGAGTAACTCTGCATCAACGGTCTAGATGCTCCGGAATAGGGCATCGACAGGTCCAGATTTTGGAGTTGGCAGGGATCTGAAGGTTGTGTGTGAATATGTTAGTTAGGAAGACAGCATGGTCTTCGAGTCACAAGGACTAAAAATGAATGCGGTAATTAAAATGATTAACCAAGATCCTATGGGAGTCGTATCCCCTGGATCTGAATTGCGGACCGGAAATCTGGAATCGGATCTGAAAACCAAGATTATTGAGGATCATGAGATCTCTGGACCTCATGCCATACATGTAGGTACCGAGTTTTTCACCGGACGTCAAAGTCGAGAAATGGTTTCCGTATGCAGTTCGTAAATAGAGTGAAAACTCGAATAAGCACCGGGGTATTATCGCAGATATCGGTAGACATCGGGATCTCGAGTAACAGGAGACAAAGGAAAAAGATGGTCCGAGTCACCCCACCCCAACTCTCCTTTAGGGAGGAAGTAAGTAATCACGAATTACTCGCCTTGCGACTGGACGACACAGCGGTCCGTCGAGGGAACTAGACCACGTCTAGTATCCATGACACACTAAAGCATTATTTTGAAGGCTTTTTCATTGATTGAAGGCAAGTAGAAAACTATTTCGGATCCTCCCTGACAAAAGTACTGTATGCGTATTACTCGTGGATTTTGTTACAAGCGGCAGTGCAGATATACAAATGTTTGCCTTATTTAGCTGTCAGATGAGATTTGTGATGTTGAATCATTATACTTCCTTGGTTTTGTACAAATTTTATACTGTGGCTTATGACTAGTGGCTTTCTGGGTTCTTCCGTCATAACTATGTCTCGGCGATAGGTCGGATATGATATGTCTCAACAAATCTGTCTGTGATGAAATATGTGTGTGACGAAATATATTGCAGCCACTTGTGACATCAAAAGTACAGCTGTAGTGTTGTTCTGCAGAGATTAACGTACCAAACAGGACAGCCTACAGGTGATCTTCGCAGTATAGTGAGGCAGGCAATCAGCAAAACCGTTGGAACAGGGTATAAATTTTACCGCCAGGGGTAAAACAAGTTAAGGCACGAAGCCGGATATAGATGTGCAAATGTACTAATTTCAAGACGATACGAATATGTTTTAGCTATACCCGATTCAGAGATCTCCCTACGTTTGCTGCTGCCGCTTTATGACAGTCAGAAGTTAAGCAACTGCGTAGATCTCAGAATGAAGACAATGGTCCTTGATTACTTTGCTCATGATACCATGAAACACAGAGTGTTTACCATATTCTTTGATGTTCTTTTGGTATCGACCTCCAGATTCCGCAAGTTACTATTCCAGCCGCGTAGATAAAGGAGCAAAGTGACCCTACTTAAGAGTTGAGATTAAAGCGTACAATGAAGAAGGATACAAAGGAAAGGACAATAAACACGATTTTTCTATATGCTTCGAAGAGAGGTCCAATATCCACGACTCGTCCTCTTTTGTCTCTCAAATGGCCAACTTCTCTTCAGCGTCGTCCATTATTGGCTCAGGCGGTAAACAGTGATATCATATTATTGAATGGGCCACTTACTGGCATTGTGCGAGGAACCTTTCCCTGTCCGGGGGTGGGAAAGGGGGGGAACGCGCTCGCTTGGAATTGACGGAATCAGTATCAGATCTATCGGCTCCATGCAAATAGGTACGAATGCTGTAGGTCTGTCGAGAGCTGTATCTAGAATTATTGATTGAGACTGCAACCCGGGAGCCGCCCCACGATCATTTCCATGGACTCTCGCGCATATTGCGGATGTCGTTTCAATGACAAGCATACTCTCCTTGGGATCTACAGGTTTCAGTTACCTTGTCGAATAAGATTCTATACTCCGGACTTCTGTGTCCAATAAGTAACATATAATTGGGGATTGGCGGTATCTATCGAAGCAGGAGTTAATTAGATCTGCCCAAATCCGTGAAGTGCATGATATAATTCATTCTGACCGACCCCTTTCTTTGTTGAAGACTACTACCATTCTGTGGCAAATGCAGTCATCCAGCAATTCCCGCAAAACTTATATAGCTTTCTGGGAGGAGCAGCTTTTTAGTATGCGAGACGACTATCGGAGAAGGCAGGGCGTTATGCTGTTGCCATTTTAAATGCATTCTTCTCTTCTAAAGAATCCTAAATTTTGATATATCAGTTGGAAAGACCTGGGGTGAGTACGACGCGCTGCGAAATGAGAATATTACTTGTCTGTCTTCAATATATATTTCGGACCTCGCACGATTGAGAATTAGCGCTTTCTTACAAAAGTTTGCATATAGTAGACATAGCTCACTTTGAATGGATCCAAAAGGCGAAATAATCCCAGAGTTAAGAAAAACCATTCGGATTGTGACGTCCGTCAAGAAGGCCCAGTAGAGGCTTGTACCGGTTAGCTCATGTGCACTGTAAGTTATAGGGTGGTATATGACCAGACAGTGCTGAATTGAAGGCAGCCAGCGTGCTCAAATCTACTACGTGTAGGGCAGCATGACAATTTAAACAAAAGAAGGAGACAAAGGTACAAGAGGTACAATACAAGTATCCCTATATTGTACATAAATAGTGCCGGCTCCGAGACTCGGCCGACGGGGGCTTGGCGAAGTCCAGCCCGCTGATCCGCATCCACTTTATTGTGCCCCGTCGCGGCCAGCGGAATTCTTCAACGGTTTCACGCAACACGTTGATTTTTCTAAGCAGAATGACTGGTCTGTCGGATCCGGCCGTTAGAGATCTGGCCTGGGGTGACTTCGGCTCGACTTGACCGGGCAGACTTGCCGGAACTACGCCTGTTATGGGACAGGTTCTGTAGGGCCTGACATCACAGGTCAATCGCTTCGGCCAACTCGTACACAATGGGTCGTAATCTGTTCCGGGTCTGCCCCCCCGCTGTCAGGGGAGACTGTTTATATATAAACCGCAGCAGCCGAAACTTAACTCTGTTCCATGGTAATCTATTCCTTATTTATTTGATCTGAATCTTCCCTCTTCGATTCTTCCTTTATATAGTATCATCGCCATATTATACTCCCACCGCCACTTTTTCCTCAACGTATGATCCTTCAGGATGTGCATCATGGCTTGCAACCGATCCAATGAGATCCCCAATCTCTCCATGGATGAAGGGACCTACCTCAGCCAACAACTGAATCTGAGTCCTCAGTCTCGACCCGTTGATTTCTTCAAGCCTGATCCCCTCGCCGCCAACTGGACCTACGATAGTGCCATCGACCTGTTTGCCCTCAACCCCAATGACATGGAGTCCGTGCCCTTCGACTTCGCCGACAGCCTGAATGATCTCGACTCGAAGGACCTCTTTGTTGATCCGTTTGCTGCATCACCGGAGATCAGCGGGTTCTCCATGCCGATGCCCGAAGACAACGCCTCGCTTTCATCAGTATGTCTCACTACCTCCCAACCTATACTATACCACAAGGCTGACCTCTTCAAGGAACTTGATAGTGACGATCAAACATGGCCATCCAATGCCGCACGCCCATCAACGGACTCCACCGCGTTCGAGACCCAGTCACCAAACCAAAGCTGTGACCCGACCTACCAGTCTCAACCCCAGAAGAGCCGCACCTCAACAAGATGGTCATCAAGCCCCAATATCAAAGAGGAAGCCGAGACATCACAATCATCCAAGCCCACCCCCACATCCAGCCGCAAAACCCGCAGCTTCTCCCGAGACTCGAACCGCTCCTCAGGCAGCCAAGACCCGCAGATGCGGAACGCCGCCAAGCGTGCCGCACACAACATCATCGAAAAGCGCTACCGCACCAACATGAATGCCAAATTCGTCTCCTTGGAGCAGGCCATCTCACCAGCCGGCGTGCAAAAACACACCCCCAAGGCCGGTGCTGGTTCTCTTAAGAAATCAGAGATCCTCTCTAACGCACTCTCCTACATCGACAGCATCCAGCAGGAAAACCAGGCCCTGCACAAGGAGCTGGCGATGCTCAAGCAGAATATGCTACCGGGCGGCATGTGGCGCCACCCCAAGCACCCTCGAGCATGATCATGTGCGCAATGCACATCATGCCACAGCAATCTGTTGCCGTGTTTCTCAAGTATCAACACTTGTTCTCATGACCGTGACGTGTACCTTTAGAAGAATCGGGCAACAAGTTCCCGGTCGGCGTTTTGTTTGCCTTTTTCCTTTTTATTTTTGATCTGGCTGGGAGGCGCTCGGATGTGGTGTTGTGACTGGGCTTCAATATGGTCCTCTCCCATCTCTATTGCATGGTTTTCGGGTCCTGGCGACAAACAAAAGTGTTTTGTGTTCTTGTGATTCCCCTACACGCTCGGGAACTCATCTTGGATAGTGTCTAAAGCATTAATATAATTGCCAAGACTCGGATGGTTCATCCTGCTCAATCTCTCCACTTTCTCGCGTTCTTTTGGTGTATTGTCCGCATCCTGATTTGGAAATAGTTGCCCTCGGTGGGTTTGGTGTATATGACAGAAGACGTAAGCTCCGTTGGCACTCTTGTACCTGAATGCTAATCAGTTGTTACCACAGGGACTTGCCTCATGCTTCAGTTCAAGTGTGTTTCACCTCATGGCCTTATCACCACGCCTGGTCCAGTTCGGAACTTGTCGATGCTCCGCAGATGCAGGTAGATTTCAGCCCGGTGAGCCAAGATAAGGGAAAACGTGTTACCTCTCATGGAGACGCGGACTTGAATAACAAGATAGGGAGGAAAGCAGGACAAGAACGATGTTAGCCGTTGGTCATCTTCTCATGTCATTCCTTGATTGATAATTTCCGGTCAGGGCATAGGGACATCAGAAACACCCGGAGATGGCCTACCACCGACGCAGGGGGCAAACTGCGGACTTTAGTCCGCCCATTAGCCAAGTGGCCCAAAGATGCATTAAAGGAGGAACAACAGGCTAGAAGGCTTTGAGAATCTATCCATTAAGCTTGTTGGCCCTATCAGGATGGATCAGGCTCAAAATACCCAATTGGGGATAGGATGTTGCATCGTGCCTGACTATCCTTGTGATCTGCCTTCCCCCGTGCTCTTCTCAACACGTGTTTACCTCATGATGAATTGACTTTCAGAAGATGCTAGTGACAGCGAGCTTGTCGGTTTGTCGGTCTGTCACGAGAGAGTCGCCACGAGAATGATGCGGGCTGAATACCCCGGATCTCGCGGGGTCTTAGCCGTTCGATCGCAAGTTCCGATCCCAAACATACCTTATCACTATAAAAGGAAGGAGAAGGAGACTCAAATCACCGAGACACGGCGACGCAGGCCAATGACGGACCTCATAAGCTCTATGTATACAAAATGCCGCAGCCCTACTATTCAACGCCTCAGCCTGCGGCTACGCCCAAGTGAGGAGACGGACGCAAACCTAGTCCGTTTGTCGAGTTCTCGTTACGACGGCTTTCGAATGAAGTGGACCCTGACGCCTCCGTTTGCCGGACAGAACTCAAAACTGCTGCCTGAGTGATGCATCGATTCTGTCGTCTCGTCTATCCCCTTTCTTTAGATGAAGGGATCATCGACGTCAATTGCATTGCTGTACTGATTTGTATGATCCCCGAATGCTAACCTGGAAGCTCCATTCTATCCACATTGATTGGTGTCCACTTGATATCACAGCAAGTGAAGTTCCTTGGATATGCTATGGTTGCCGGCGTCGGAATCAGCAATTGACTCCACACGATGGATCTAGTATCTCGGCAGAAAGAGATATGTAGACATTCTATTATGGCGTTGGTTTACACGAGCTTAACCTCATCCCTGACGCCCCCAAGTATAGAGCCGCGGACTAAGTGCCGCCTATCGTCTTATCACGCATGGACTTTCCCTTTTGGGTCAGGTCGCCACTGATGATCCAACCACTTCTCTTTGTTGCTTCAGTTGAAGCTAGAGAATGAGATAGCGGAATAGATGACGAATTGCTCTGTCTACTGCGAAGTAGTTAGGGGCGATAACATTTGGACTTTGGATATATTGGTAAGAAATAGTTGAAGTGTTGGTAGTACTGTACGGTCGGAGCCCATATACTAACTATGCCATGTGGCAAAAGCCACTCTTAATTGGCAGCTACAAAGCATCTTCAGGGCTAAATCCAATTCTCTTACTAGAACATCCGTTAAACGTCAAAGAGACCTATCTGTGGAGCGCATCCATGGTCGAAGGCCCACTGTAGGAGGTCCTACCGAGGCGAACACACACTCCCCGCAAAAACCACGGAAAACTCGACAGGCGATGATCGTTTCTATTATCAACACCTCTCCAATCCATGACCAATGGTTTTGATACAATCCGTTGACTCCGTTGACTCAGTTCCCAGCACACACGTTATTGGCTTAATCAATCCCCCAGCTTTATCTATGTCTCCGTATTTACCCTGATTTTGTGAGGGGGTGGTCAACGCCAAAACGCCAGCGCTCAAGCTATATAGAATTCATATCCTCGCCATATCCCCTGTTCTTGTTCATCCCTTTGGCAGAAAATGGGCGCATTTCCTACCTGCTTGCCCATTCAACTGATCTTTATTACCTCCGGCTGAATCACACCTCGGGATGGATTTAGAGTCCAATTCACAACCCCTTAAGCCGCCTCTGACGGATCAGAATGTGCAAGATGCACAGGATCTCGCTGCCCTGGGCCATTCCCAGGCCCTGACCCGCAAGTTCGATATGTGGAGTATGCTAGCGCTGGCATTCTGTGTTCTCGGTACGTTCGCTCGCTCAATTGCGAAAGACCCCTTCGCCACCGGGGTACATTGGAATTGCGCTGACCCCCTTTCGCAGGAACATATTCAACCTTCGCTCAGGATCTCAGTAGCGGCCTTACCAATGGCGGTGCTATCACTATTCTTTGGGGTCTGGTGCTGGTCACGGTGTGCAATCTTTGCGTGGCGCTCTCGCTGGGCGAGTTGACTAGCAGCATGCCCACTGCTCTCGGCCAGGCCTATTGGGTGTATCGACTTTGGAATACACCACTCGGCCGCTTTGTTTCGTATATGTGCGCCTGGATCAACACCTTTGGATGGTGGACATTGACTGCGTCGCAAGTCGCCTTTATGACTGAATTCCTGCTGGGCATGAAGACCATGTTTAATCCGGAGTGGGATGGAGCCAACAAGGGCTGGCTCAACTTCGTCGTATACATCGGCGTCGTCTTTGTGTTGACTCTCATCAACGTGGTGAGTTGTCGCAAGGAGAAGATTCTTCCTTGGCTTAACAACTTCGTCGGAGTGTGGTTTTTCGGCTTGTTTATCGTTCTCTCTCTTACTCTGCTCATCTCGGTCGGTACCAAGGCCAATTTGTCTTTCCAGCCACCTTCCTTCGCTTTTGGAGCTTGGAAGAATGAGACTGGCTGGAGCGATGGTGTGGTTTGGTTTACCGGTCTGGTGCAGGCTGCATATGGATTGACCGCGTTTGATTCGGTCATTCATATGGTTGAAGAAATTCCTGCACCACGGAAGAACGCACCCCGTGTCATCTGGATGGCTGTCCTCTTTGGCGCCGTGACTGGATTCATCTTCATGGTGGTCTGTCTGTTCTGCATCCAGGATGTGGACAGTGTTCTCAACGCCGACCTGCCCTTTATTGAGCTGATGCTCGAAACAGTCGGTCAGAAGGGCGCCGCCGTCCTCATTTCCCTCTTCATCTTCAATGGACTGGGCCAGGGCATTAGTGTTCTTACAACTGCTTCTCGTCTGTCTTGGGGCTTTTCCCGTGATGGCGGCGTGCCCTTCAGCAAGTACTTCAGCCACGTCGACCCAGTGTGGCAAGTTCCAGCCCGGGCTCTCTGGGGCCAGGGAGTCATCATCGGTCTCGTCGGCATTCTCTACCTCTTCGCCAACACAGTGCTGGAGGCCATCCTGAGTGTCAGTACCATCGCTCTGACAGTCTCCTATGCCATGCCCATCCTGGCACTATTGGTGACTGGTCGCGAGAAGCTACCGCCCGGCCCATTCAAGCTCGGTCGCATTGGCCCATTGTTGAACTGGGTCAGTATCATCTACTGCATCATCACCACCATCTTCTTCCTTTTCCCCGGTGCTCCGAACCCAGCACCCAGTGATATGAACTTCGCTATTGCGGTATTTGGAGTCATGTTGGTTATTGCGCTTGCTTTCTGGTTCATCCAGGGTAGCCGGACTTACCTCCAGACGGAAGATTCCATCGCTTCTATGGTCTACGCTCACCACTTGGAGCTCAATGAGCCTGGGGCAGAGGATCGGCCTGTTGTCCAGGCTCCAACCGTGGTTGAGGAGAAATAATTGTTCATTCTTTGATATTTGGAACCTTGTTCAAGCATGTACATACGCACACTTCTTATGTTTCTTAATATATGTGGTCGCATAGACAATATAAAATCAGCGCAAGGTATTACTAGGGTCGCACATATTGAAGACCGAAGGGACCCTTGTGGCCTGTACATGTAGTTCGCCAATCGTCTGCGGAACTGCACGTAGTATCCGCTGTCTAGCTTATTGACCGAGTTTCAATTTCCGATGGCGTCGATTTGCATGTTGGTATACCGGCTTTTCTGAACTAAAGAGATCGTCCGTGGAGAATATTGTGTAGCAACGAACAATGGGGTGTGTATCTTTTCTAATTTCGGACTTCTGGATACAGATGTATTCAAAAACAAGACATCAAATCTAGTTCTTCCTTATCTGTAGGTATAGATGCAGGCTAGCTGTAGCAAAAATAAAGGTGCGACGATAAATACACTTTTTTTGCTTTTTGAGAACGAGATGGGTGTATCTCAAAGCCGCCAATGAGGCCAGCAGGTTAAGTGTGCACGAAGTATTTATTCTCAGGGCGGATCATGTATACACACAACAGGCGCAAAACAAATTTACACGGAGATCCTTTATGACATTGGTCTGAAAAACAGAGAATCTTAGCAAGCTTTGGGCCTTAACTCTACCACATTGTCTCAGATTCTGACTGATAGTGCCCTTATTTCACTCGGGTCAACATCTCTATCCCCGGAGGAATGTACTGTGCTGGTGGTAGGTGCTGGACGGTGTCAAGCTCCTAGATGGTGGTGGGCTGGAAGAGAGATTACTCAGCGTGTATTAGTCAAGCTGATTTTGAGAATGTCTGTAGAAATTGATGCTAGATGACTATATTCTTTGATTCACAACCGCATTTTGCGGTGCTGCCAAGAGCGCTAAGATCGTACGTTCGGTTGGTGACCATTTGAGGAATTTTTCTCTCGCTTTAGTGAGCCATAGGTTTGTTTTGACAATCGTCGAATGAAAGGCCAGCTCGTTCGTAACTATCCCTGGCCATAATAAAAAGCGTTTGCTGCGCGCATTTCATCGAAGCTATTTCTGTTGCCTTTCCTGCAACAATACCGAGCGGTTGCCCTAGCAGGAGGCCAGCTGCTGCAAGCAATCCAAAACACCTGGTTAACGTTAGCAGCCAAATGGCCCTTCATAGAATGGCGCGACCTACCTGTCACCCCTTGTGTCAACGTGGTCTTGGCCTCCGCACTGTGTGAGCCTATGGTCACTGTCATGGTATAATCGACTACTCCGGTGCGCTCTAGCTCGTTGGCCCACCCGAACAGATGTTCATCCTCGCGGTTAACACCGATGGTCAGCAAGAAGTCAAACTTCGGATTGTTGGAGCTTTCCACATAGCGCCACACCACTTCCGCCGCGAGAGCCTTCTTTGTGTTTATGGGCTCCACTATCATAGCACTATCAAAGATAACGGCGTGGATGCCCTGGCTCTCACAAGCATCGTTAATCTGATCGGCACACTCAGCTGTAAGACGCCTAGCCATTTCTCTGTCGGCCACCGACCCATAGTGAAAGACGAGCGAGTAGTGGCGGGTTTCAACCCAGCTTCCTTCCATCCGCTCCTGAAAATATGTCAGGATATGCGAAGGCCCGTCTTTCCAGACATCAGTATATGCCTGGTCCACTAGCTGGATCCACTCATTTGTGTGCGGTTTACGCAAAAAGCACCCATTTTCGGCGATCAATCCCACACCAATGACATGACAGAATTGTCTCTCTAGTTCCTCCGGCATTCGCGAGCTCATCACGTAAACATCGTTGGCAGCATCGTCTATCAGGTCGGTCAAGATCGTGATTGTACGTTGTGGTGTGGCAAGGAAGACGTTATTCGGGGAACCCCAGGGTGCTAATGCGCCTTCGTATTGGATAAACATCATGCGGCGGCATGCCTGTCGATACCGCTCTTTGAGACTAGCGATGGAGAGACATGGCTTTGTCATTCTTCGGTGCGATAACTGCTTGTGGCAGACACAAGCCATACTTTCTTTGAAAGACTTAACCCAATTAGTTGCTGAATTGTCGAGTACTAATTGGTGAAGCTGCTCCCAATCCTTCTTTCGTTCCCTCGGGTCTCGGATCAACGCCGTATGCATCGCTTCTGCGCATTGATGGACGTTCCATGGGTTGACCAAAAGCGCATGATTACTAAATAAGGATGCGCTACCGGTGAACTCGCTGAGAATCAATGAACCGTACCCCTTGTTATTAAAGCGGCCGTCTTGACAGTAAACGAATTCGTGGCTGATCAAATTCATTCCTTCTCGAAGGCTAGTGATCATCAAAACGTCTGCCGCTGTGATGAGCGCAAGGTACTGCGGAAACATAAGATCCTGCTTGAGAAATACTAAGGGCTGATGGTCGAGAGTTGCATAGATGGAGTTGATTCGCATTGCAATGTCGGATATACTCGCTTCTAGCTCAGGCTGCTGAGTGCTGCTAGTAGCAACTTGTATCAGAACAACCTGATTCGCCCATTCTGGGTATATATTAAGGAAATGCTCATAGCTTAACAGCTTCTGACGGATCCCTCCAACGGCGTCTATCTTGTCACAGGAGACGATGAGCCGCTTTCCCCGGTGCGCAGTTGAGATGTTGTCCATCCAGTGTCTGATATCGGCTGACTCCCTGCGTCGGTCCCAAGAGGTTGGATCAATGCCAATAGGAAATGTGCCCACCTTTATGAAACGATCTTCTAACTGAATCCCTGCGTCGGTAGCTTCCACGGAAAGGACTCTACCGCACGCCCGGAGAAAATGACCGGAGTACTCGGTTACTTGAAAGCCGATCAAATCAGCACCGAGCATGCCTTCAAGGAGCTCCTTGCGCATGGCCAAGCACCTGAAAACTTCAGAGGATGGGAAAGCAGAATGAAGAAAAAATCCGATATGGGCGTCGGGGAGTAATTTTCGGAGCATGGCTGGGACCAGCATCAAGTGATAATCCTGCACCCAGATGGAATCGCCCCTCTTCCAATTTCTGGCGATACATTCCGTAAAAGCCTGGTTGACACTCACGTAGTAGGCCCAAGAGCAGTCCTGGTAGGCTTTATTCTTTGGGCTGTCGGGCACCTGATAATGGAAGATCGGCCAGAGAATGGTTTTGCAAAAGTGCGTGTAGTGCCCGTCAAAGTCACGGTCGCAAACAAACACGGCCAGAGATTCATACTCATCTTTCAGTTTCCGCTCAATGGCCGTCCGATCGCAATACTCTATTGAGTCCGTTTGTATTCCGAGCGTGCCCACCCACATTGTGTCATTGAGATAGCCAACGTGCGCAGCGGAGCGTATGGCGTCCACTAATCCGTCATTTCCTTTTTTTGCAGTAATAACACTCCATTGAGGCTCCCCTTTTGTGCGTGGCCAATTATCCGACCGCGGCTTTGGGGGAAACGGATAACCCACACCCTTTCTTGCTCGAAGGGGCGGGTCGGAGGTAAATATGCGCTCGTTGTCCGTGGTAGCACCAGGGGACAAGTTATCTCCTTTTAGTGTCGTATCACTTCCGCAGCCGCCGTCACGTCTACTCGGTAGTGTGCTGAGGCATTGCGGCAGGCGGGCGGGGGCTGGTGATTGAACTTGAGAGGACCCGCATGAATCAATTTGGCGGGTCACAGTGTAAGGAAGAAAACTAGATTATGGTGATGAATGTCAGTATGCGCGGAGGTAAAAGCTCATGACCACATACAGAGACACGACGAAAACTGTCATAGTAGCGCTTATCAAGACTCAGGCTGGTTGGAGATGTTTCAATTATAAGGAGTCAAGAAGTTCACAATATGTAGATGTAATATACAAAGACACTGTGAGTTTTGGTTATAAGTGTAAGAAACACGTCATTTTCTTGTATCCGTGGAGCCCGAATAGTGGTTCCCCAGCCCGGTACATGATATATTTTCTTCATCTTAGACTACGTCATTATGGACTAAGTGAGAATGGGGATTACTATTTCCAGGAGTGGTAATTCAAGCCCTTCGGTCTAGTTTAGTCTCAATCCCCTGCTGAGCAGCACGTGCGTGTCCACTGCAATTGAATAATACTTGTAATGTCCTAATGCTAAATACCTTGCTCACATTCCAGAACCGAAACCGACACTAAGAAACACTTTGCTCTCTTTAAGCCTAGAGGAATAGATACAATAAAATAGACCTAAATTGACGAGGGCTTAAAATTTGCGGGATAGTTATAATTCACGACTAAGGGGAAGTGCCAAAGTGGGAAATAATTCACAATGTGATCAGATTACAACTAAAGTAAGAGGATGCCATCATACCACTGTGTTTTCTCATACTAATTTGTTATCACACCTTGAGACATCTGCAATATGTTTTCCGGTAGAGGAGCTGCGATATGAACGGCTCATGTATCCATCTCACCCTCCTCCTTAAAACAACTGACCTGTGTGGTCAATATGCATGTACTAGATATTTAGATTTAGGTGTGGCGCAAGGTTAACTATTATTTATGAGTAATTTCTTTTTTTGCTTACTCTGGTGCTATAAAATAACAAAATCAGCGGGTTGAACTGTCTGTTTAAACTGGCTTAAGTACGCAAATGTTTCATCAACTGTTTAAGTTTGGCTTCGGTACACGGAGTGATTAATTTACCCGGTAAATGTATGCATTTCCAGCATTGAACCTAACAGCCCTGAGGTATATTGCTGGCCAAAAAAACATTCCACGTATAGCTGGCAATCAAGCGTGAACAAACTGCAAGGGTAACTGCCTACCATCAGGTACGCAGTGCATGTCAATAATACCATATGTACAAACTAATATGTTTTCAGCAGTACATTGTTTAGTACGAAACAAGTGCGGAACGTTCAGATGCGTAACTGATTCGACGGCCGGGTAGCACAGAAGACAGGTGAAAAAGCCTTGAACTGTATGAACAACTCAGGTTGACATTGGAAAGCTCACTCCTCGCAATCACCAATTGCAGCACGTAAGGGACGCCCCAATGCTTTCCGAACTGCTGGACAATGCCACACTCCTCTAGGATGTCAAAATCGGCCATCGACTGGTCTCACAGCGCCTCATACTACGCCAGTCCCTATATCCGCATTATCGGAGATGCTAGGTGCTTCATTGAGCCCCCTTTCCCGTCCGGCGTGCATCTAGCTCTCACCGACGCACTCTCTGTGGCCGTTTCAATATGTGCGACGATCAATGGCGGCTTTAGCGAGCGCACGGCAGCAAAGTGGTACTCACAGCGAATTCTTGAGGCTTATACATGGTCCCCGGTAGTGGTGACCAGCGCATACGCACAGAACACGGGAAAGGAGCGTCGGGTGTTGAACGAGCCTGATGATGCAAAATTTGATCATGCTTTTAGCTTCTTCCCACCCAGTGGGTGTCTTTCTCTTGTCATCTATGTCGTCTTCAGTCTTCCTTGTGACCGGAGGTACTGAATTCATGCTGGTCAGTAGTCCAAGGGGTCGCGGAAATTGGTGGAGGAGAATTGAGTCGTGAGGACATGGCTCACTCAGTCGAGTATTGGTTCCGAGTCATTCGTAAGGTGGATGGAACTATGAGCTTGACTTCAAATGGAAACGAGCTGCGTGAAGATAAATATGAACAATTAACGTGCGATCGCATGAAGAAGCTGGAGCTCGAGTCGGATCTGAACAAGTTCCGTGCTGACGTTGGGAATGAGATGACCGTCAAGCTTCACCGGGGAGCTCTAGGGCTGATGAAGGGGGATTGACAGTCGTATCGAGATCACGAAAACCTTGAAGTGATGAAATACTTGTGCAAGATTGATTAACATAGGGGGGATTTTATTCGTGTCTATGCAAATAGCTGACAGTTTACTACATGAAAGCAAGGCCTTTGATCTAGAGGGGGTATTGAAACCTGCAGACCGAACAGTCACTGACGTCGAGACCTATTAAAAGCCGCCAAATTCCCAGCCCTGGTCGAATCCGACTAACTTAATCTTTCAGGGCTCTGCGTAGTAGACAAGAATCCGATATCTGCAAGAGTCTGTACATTCTTCCTGGCAGAGTGAGCGAGTAGTTTGTTCCCATCTTTGCCGACGACCACAACCGTGGCCTGGGATACCGGACTTTTGACCTTCGCAGGTCTTGTCTATGATCTGACGGAGATGCGAAGGCACTTGCGCATCGAGATGCATAGTCTATACGAGGAAAAGCGAGAGATCGTGCGGGGTATTGTGGGTATGGAGTACTCTGGCTGAAAGCAAGGGTCCTGGGAGACTGAAATCGAGTCTTGTTTAGCGACAGGCTCAAAAGCACTGTTGAAATTGGTTTCCCTTCCCTGCAAATCCCCTAGTTTGCCTCGCGGTTTGCGCAAACGCTGCGGAACGGAACATCTCTGGATTGCGGACGGGACGGGATTAACCGCAACTAGTGCCCGAGGGGATCCAATCAATGGTAGCTGCAGTACATCAGTGACACGTGGGGAACGTACACTGGATTGAATTGACAAGGTTGCGGGTATCTTGTGATATTTTCGAAGCCAACGCTCACCTCAGCAGGAATATATGTATCAAATACAATATAATTTGGAGCTGTCCGAAAAACGAAAAGTTCTGAAAGTCATCTCAAACTCTAATCCTCCGAGTACTACAAGAAGTGCAACACGTGATCGTTTAAATCTCCAAGATGGATAGATCCAGAGAGACAGCCTCTATGCCTAGGATGCCTAACAGGTTTAAGAAGTTTAGCACCGAGCTCACTGATTACTCGGTATTCCACGCCGATAAGTCCGGACCATATGTCGAAAACCTCGAGGTCGATGCTTTGGTCGTGGGTGCAGGTTTTGGTAAGTCGGTATACCTTACATGCATTGTCTCCCTGCTAACTAAATAGCCGGTGTATTCATGCTCAAGACCCTCCGCGATCGCGGCCTGAAAACGGTCATTTTCGAGGCAGGCCACGATCTGGGTGGCACCTGGAGATGGAACTGCTATCCTGGCGCCGGCGTCGACTCCGAAGTTCCGGAATACGAGTTCTCTTGGCCCGAGGTATACAAGACATGGAACTGGCCCAGCAACTACCCTGACTACAAAGACCTGCGTGCTTACTTTGACCATGTCGACAAGGTAATTGGTCTCAAGAAGGACTGCTCTTTCAACACCGTGGTTGTCGGGGCCAAGTTCGATACGGAAGAGGGGAAATGGAACATCAAAACTGCAGATGATCGGACGGCCAAGGCCAAATACCTTGTTCTCGGAACCGGTTTTGTGAGTATCGCATCCCTCATTCCCTCATTCAACTGCACATCTACTGATGAAGCGTTTAGGCCGCCAAACGTTATATTCCCCCATGGTCCGGTATGGACGAGTTCAAGGGCATCGTGCACCACTCGTCTTTCTGGCCCGACAAAAATATCAGCGTAGCGAATAAGCGCTGTGCTATCATCGGCACTGGTGCCTCGGGTGTGCAAATCACGCAAGCCTGGGGCCCTGAGGCGGGCGAGCTGAAAGTCTTCCAGCGAACTCCTAATCTCGCCGTTCCAATGCGTAAGCGCAATCTCACCGTCCAGGAGCAAGAGCGCATCAAGCCCTGCTACCCAGAGCTGTTCCGGTTTCGTGAGACTAGCTTCGCTGGCTTCACATATGACTGGTGCGAGCGTAACACATTTGACGATACCCCGGAGGAGCGCGAGGCGTTCTACGAGAGTGTTTGGAAGGAAGGTGGCTTCCGCTATTGGGTTGCCTTGTATAAGGATAACTTGTTCAATCCGAAAGCCAACAAAGAGTCGTACAAGTTCTGGGCCACGAAAACCCGTGCTCGTATTGGCGACCCTAGGCTGAGGGAGCTGCTTGCTCCGTGGGAAATGCCGCACTACTTTGGTATTAAACGGCCATGTTTAGAGCAGAACTATTACGAGCAGTTCAACCGGGAGTCAGTGGATCTAGTCGACATCAAGGATAACCCGATCAAGGAGTTTACCGAGACCGGCATCACCCTGGAGGACGGAACTCACCATGAGTTTGATGTCATCGCTGTCGCAACTGGATTCGTAAGCTCCGCTTGATACAACCAAAAGATGATAGAAAAATAACAGTCACAGGATGTTGTCACCGGCGTCATGACCCAGCTCGGTCTGGAGAGCATTGACGGTGCCAAGCTCGACGATGAATGGATCCCCGGCGCAAAGACCTACCTCGGCATGACTATCAGCGGCTACCCCAACATGTTCCACATCTATGGCCCGCAAGGTCCGACGCTTCTGAGTAATGGTCCGACGTCAGTTGCCGTGCAGGGCCGGTGGATCGCCGACGCTATTACCAAAATCGAGGCCAATGGCATCAAGTACATCAACCCCAAGGTCGAGGCAGCTGATGAATGGAAGAAGCATATCGTTGAGCTCAACGACAGAACTCTCTTTCCCACGACGAGATCAACATACATGGGTGGTAGCATCCCTGGCAAGGTTTATGAACCAGTATGCTACTCTGGTGGTATCCCTGCTTATGTCGCTGAGATTCGAAAGGCCCTGGACAATTTGGAGGAGGGATTTGACATAGTTAAACGTTGAGCGGAATTCAATGGCGTAAACGAAATGTTTTTTCTCGTCCAGTGGCAAAGTTGGGCACTCGGTGATTACAAATGGACCGCAAGTAAGATGCGTTTGTCATATTCTAAGCTCCAGCAGAGAAATTGAAACACCTGATGTATGGTATCATGAAGCATAAGTGCGTAACCCATTCGCCGGACTGTAGCCAGATGATTATTTATATAAGGGCTGGAAGATGAGGCACTGAAAGGCAACTAGTGCGATCCATGTTGACCGTGGATGCGTGCAAAAGATAAGTAAATGTTGTCCAAAGAATGTTGATAGGATGTTCAACTACATAGGTTGCTTCTTGCTTCAGCTTCTCGGAAAATGTGCTCTCTCCGAATTTGGCACATTCACATGAAGTCCACCGAGGGTGGCCAAATTCCATCCTTCTCCCCCGAGGAACCTTTCGGCCGACGTGCCACTTTATGTGGCATCTTCAATTGGGATGCATCTGGTTTGATTGATGCGGGTTGATAGTTACGTTAGCCGTATAAAATGGCGAGACGAGTCTGAGATGTCTTGTTGGAAGCGGTTAAACTGGATGTTCGAGAGATATATACTAGCAATACAACTATTCATTTCGGTTGAGATGATTTGGCGTCTTCTACTCGATATTTAAAGCGATTGATGCTATTAACGCGTCATAGTAGGGAAATCCCCCTATCATAGACGAAAGCAGACATTCTATGTAGTTTGGGCGGTCACTAATCCAAAAACGTGACCCTTTCTGCCAACCCAACGACGTCGAAGCAACTTCTGTCCAAGTCAAGGGTATTATTCGACTCAAACAGCGCATAACCACTGAAATACAACTCGGAGTGAATGGGAACCGTCATGTGCGCCCGTGATAGTTGTTATCTGCATACATTGCCCATCTCTTCACATCCACGAGTCAGGCACATTCTGACCCAACTCATTTCTACCATGAAAGGCAAGGCTGGATGGACAGCCTCTCAATATCCAGTCCCGACCAAGTTATCCCAGCCACATCAAGTTCCCGTGAAAATTGCTGGGCTGGGATCGCACATATGCGAATTGGCAAAATCCCAGCCTCCAGCCTTTCACGATGCGAATAACATGCACGACTGTTTGTATGCAAGACGCATCTGAATCTTGAGATTGATTCCAGGATACTAAACGCCACAGATATGGGCGCTACATCCTCAGCCGGTCAGGTACATAGCTTGATTGGCTGTTAGTTGTTCCAATGGTGCATGATCACCATGCCAACACCGCCCACTTCTTGGCAGGGGTGCATTGGAGATTACATGTACATGTATCGCCCATCTCCCCAAGGAGCCAAGAGCTGTTGGATGCGATGAGACAACGGTTTTGTGTGGAGCAGATGCAATTTCAACCAGGGCCTGGCCTTCATGGAGTTTACCCTGAACGGCTGCGCCTCCTTACATTGTTGACCTTGCGTCAAGTGTGTGGGTCTGCCCCTGCCGATCGTCGGAGCCCCGGTGCCTCCGTAACAATGGGATAGAGATCTTCTCCATACCGATCACATCACTGACTATTTAGGAACGTCATGAATTGCCTCGGGCGCAACGGAGTATCGGCCGCAGCTGCAACCATGCGGCAGCCAGCAGGAGTCCGAGATCAAATTCCGGCATCGAACCATTTAGAACAAGCTCGCTAACCCTTAACCCGACGGACATCCGCCACAAGGGTCCACAGGGACAAGGGATCAGTGACGCACGATCGTCGTGAATAATCGCTCTTCCAATGTTAGAGTCGGGAGTCTCCAACATTCCTGGCTCATTCTCCCCCCGCCAATGCAACCATAATAAATAAGAAATTCACCATTACCCCTCCTTTACAGTTGATCCCCTCGTGTCGCTAAGTATTTATACTTTGTCTATTCTACATTCGCTTGATAGAGGTCCCTATCGGTGTTTGGTAGGGAGTACACATTCGCTCTTGTAACCATGATTGCATCCCTTTGGAACAGTCGGGCATTATCGCTCGCGGTCGTTTCGCTTCTCGCCTCCTCTACTGCAGCTGACGTTTTCGAGAGCCTGAGGGCTGTGCCCCAGGGTGAGTTTCAATGCATCGGTTCAAAATAAAATCGACGACGGGAACCAACTGACCCAACATAGGATGGAGGTATTCCCGCACCCCGCGTGCCAACCAGTCATTGAAACTACAAATTGCTTTGGCACAGGGCGATGC